GTTCAACTCTTTGTAAACGTGTTTGGTAAATACTTTCTGATAGTGATGACAATGGAAATATTAAGTAACCAAGGAAAACTCTGAAAATCCTAGGGAGCTCCGTAAGCAGCAAACAGCAAGTCAGGCCAACCAGGTGCCTGGCTGGCCAGCAAGTGGGACAGAGTGATCTGGAGGCCTGGTCACAGGCTGACTCAATTTAGGATTCTGACTGTGGTCTCTGCACAAGGTGGAGCAGGTTGCAACTGGAAGTGAGAGAAGTCTCAAGTAACCTAGAAGTCAAGTGGGGAGCAATAATCAAAGGCTTCCATTCTGAAGTTGAAATGACTCCAAATCCTTCTCCTTCACTTAGAGAACATGAACACCATGTCATTATTTTAGTTTACTGAGTTGCTGTTCCAAATGTTCTCGGGAGCATCAGTGCTAAAAGGGAACAGGAGATGGGAGCTCTGCCATTTTCAGTCACATAAAGCACAGAAATCCTTTTAATTATGACCATGCCAATCTACATCCTGCTAAAACAGCTAATTACATGTCAGGAGGACACTCAGTCATTCAGAACAATTGCCATTATACTTTTATATATTCATTCTATGCCACCCCCCTCAATTACCATGGTTACAATTTGAAAAGATCCAGCCGAACCTTCGTTTGATCACAGCACACCAATGTGGGTCTGAGAGTTAATTATGGCCATGTGGAGCCACTCCTATTTCAAAGACAGAAGAAAAAATGAAAACGGAGTCAAGGGAGCTGGCAACCCCAGATTTCCCAAGTGCGAGCCGGGCTGCATGTGCAACGCCTGCCTGCTGCCCGTGCAGCTGCGCAGAGGGGTTGGACACGCGCGGATGCCGCCGTCCAGACTGGGGCAAACCAGTGAGAGGTGTGCCTGTGTGCGGGTGTCAGGACAGGAGAAAGGCGGCACTCCCCACAGAAGCACCCTGCTGTTGGGGGTGCGGTTGGGGAGCTGGCTGATGAGATCATGGGTGTGGAATGCAGTCACCTGTCAAGTGGTGAGAAAATGCCAGTCAGACTTCACATAAATGGAATCAACTAGAGTGAGTTCTGCCCCAACGTCGCAAGAGAACGGTAAGCAGGCAGCACATCTCCCATGCTGGTGAGCTCAGAGGGTTGTGGCCAAAGGTCCCTCACTGTCCCCTCCCTCCCTTCCCCTCTTGATGGCAAGAGAAAGCCAGTGCCATGAGAAGTGGGCCCCTACGATCCCAGCCACCGCCTGTCCGCCCTTCCCCTCCTCACCAAGCAATAGTGGAACCAACACAGAAACGGCTCGGTTAACACAATTCTAGCTTTTGAACGTACATAGCTATAAAGAGTTGGATTTCAGAGATAAGGGCGTCGACCATCGGCCCTGTAAGACAGCAGAAGCAATAGCTTATCACTTTCAGCTTATACATAAAGAGAACTAAGAACAGCCTCTCTGAACACACCTGTTTATGACAGAGGAGTTTCTGTAATCAGAAAACTGACTTCTTGCTTATTGTATTTAAAAAGACTTTCCTACCAGGTTAGTGTGGTAGTTCTCTTGATAGCAGAAGGGAAATCTTTCTTCATCTTTGAAACCAAGAGTGGATAATAAAGGAGACTGTATTACAGCAGAGAAAAGGCCTCTGCTTCGATGGCATGTCCATGACATCCACAGAGGTAACCTGGCCATTCACAGTTGCCTCCCCTGGAAATCTTCCCCTCTCATTAGGGTACAGTACCTGTACACCGGGTGGCTCAGGTATCCTTAGGGAATATAAACCAGACGACATGGAAGTGAAGAAACGGTAGAGGGTTTCCAGGGCATGTGGCTCAGTTTGCCCAGTTCAATATGGCTGACAAGCAATCCCAATCCTGAGTAAACACCCTTGCTATTTGGAGCACAAACAGAAAAGGAATGCTTTACGTGTACGGTTCCCACCCCTGCCCCAGTGCACCCCACCCCAATCCCGCAACCCCCAAGATACCACCAGTGAGAGTTGGTCAATGGGCCCAACGTTCACTTGGGAAATCTTGAGAAATAAATCCGGCTCAGTAAAGCTATAAATGAATTTGGCTGGTCTCAACGCAGCCCCAATGAATACAGTAGTAAAGCATTACTAATAATCACAATAACAAAATGACAACATCTATCACCACTCTGACATAAGATTTAAATCACAGAGATTAACACAGAAACCAATGCACAATGTAGGTCAGGGCTATTCAATGTAGAGTGCTACTGAGCCCAAGATCATCAACAACAAGAAAAATTATTGCCTAAGAATCTGTTGAGACTCACTGGGAAAAAAATACTGTGGTTGTTCTCTGAACAACAGGAGACAAAAAGCAATTTTAAAAGGCAGAGCCACAAGTAGAATGGGAAGACGGCTTCTCACCAAACCCTTCTTGAGACCAAAGGGAGAGTAAGGACTTGTAGTTCACATTTTTAGGAGGGGGTGGGGACCATTTGTGGAAAAGGATTATTTCCACTGCATGGTCAGAGATAATGTAGCTGGTCAGTGGAATATGTAGCTGGTCAAGACAGGAAGGAGTGTGTGTTAAGAGAGGGACCACGCCCATCTACTCTGCCTGCAGTTGGAAGATAAATTTCAGCAAAGACCACGACTTAGTGGTGGGACACAGAGGACAATGGAAGAGGAGCTGTTCACAGATGGAGAGGATGAGGCTGGAGATTCCTGTTAGATCCAAGTCTATTTATACATGGTGTCTGATGGTTAGCATCTAAGAGGGGAGTTTTAAAGTCAACATTTCCTCATGACGAAGGCAAAAAGGGAGAACCAAAATGGTATCTTCACAGTTGTCTCCTTTGAGGTAAAAATACATCTCAATATCTGGACCGACAAGGTACTATGACCACTGAATTTCCTGCCGTCATAAACCTACCAGGAACTGGAGTACTGGACTTGCATACTTCAGTAGTAATGAGCTTCTCTCTCACTCATGTCTCTTCAGGTGATCACCTCTACCGAGCTGGGGTGAAGTGTGGCTTTAAGGGGACTCTATGCCTCCCTTCTTCCTGTGAAGGGACATGGGAACGTGTGTGTGTGGGGGCAGTGGGGGGGTACTGTCCCCCCAATAAGTGTGAGAATTGTACAGAATCCATAGGTAGGTGGAAGGTAACTACCAACCACTTAAAGGCTGACATTGTGAACACAACTGCCTTAAGGGGTACTCCAACAGTATAAGCTTTCCTGAAATAAATAGAAGTCTCAGATAAGAGTGTACTGAAGGCCTCCCCTGGCCTTCATTCGATGTTAGGGTTATCAACAGATAGAAATCTCATTAAGATGGTCCATCCTTAAAAGGTCCCTACGTAAGGTGTTTTAAGAAGGGTCAGAAGTTTACCCATCTGACCATAGTAATTCAATTAAAGTGTTATTTAAAAATTAACAGGAGACAGTTGGCAACTTTCCCCTCATCCCACACTTTTAAAAAGTCTTCCTCAACCAGGAAGGGACAGCCCCTGGAAGAGTACTCTGGGGCTTGCAGAAGAGTAGAATGGAGTGAGGGAGAGGGACAGAGCAACCCAAAAGCATGGAGAATGGCTTTTAAGACCCTCCCTATGTCCCCTTCAGTGGCAGAACAGTTTAGGGTTTCTATTTTAAAACCACCTCTAAAACCTGAAAAAGCTTAAGAAAGAAATTTACTATCCAAAGATACTAGAAATGAAACAGTGGCAGCTCCACGTGCCACTATAAGAACTAAGGCTGCCTGGATGAGAAGGCAGAATAGAACCTGGGACCAATGGGAAACTGATGGCAGATTTACATCTAGACCCCAAAGCAGAAGTCATATGTAAGGCAGTGAGTCTTAAGAGCAGGCCAGCAGTCTTCTCTAACTACGGGAAGAACTGTGGGTCAAAGATTCCTTCCTCCTGTCTCCACCAACACAGGCAGGAACATTCTCTTAGTGTTACCACACTGCCAGATGGGGCCTGGCACTGCCTTCATGGATACAAACTCTCCTTTATTCTCTGAAGCTTTCTCCTTCCTTAAAGGTCTTAAAACAATGAAACCTAGCCCTTCTGTGGCTATGATTGCATTTCTTTAGAAAGTGCAGCTGTCTCAACAGTTTGAGTCTGTTCCTTTAAAAAGACCAGCAAGAACAGATGATACTAGCAATCCCATCATAAAGAAGCTATCAATTATAATATAATCTCCTGACAATAAATCATGGATGTGGCTTGTCAGAGGGTATATTTTTTTCTCTCTCCTTGTTTTTTCTGATTCAACTAAGAATAAGCAGACAAAATTCCACCAAAATGGAAAGATACAATATTTTATATTTCTTCTAAGTAAAATAAAAGGAAAGAAAGATAACACAATCTCCTAATTGAAATAAAAAGTCAAATAAACCAAGAAAAAACATGAGCCCGGGAAGAGGGATGGAATCATTCCTGAGAATAACAAATGCTACTCTTGAATTTATTGGTTCAAGTAATACAGTAAAAAAGAGAAAATTACTCTGTTTTACTTCAGTTCTTGGAGCTGGAAAAGGTACACTTTCCCCCCTGAAATCCATGGATGAGCAGGACCAGGCCCTGTCTCTATAGCTCTTTAAAGTTACAGACAGATATAAGGTGGCACTTTCATGTCCTCTCCAAGACTTTTCCTCACACTTATGTGAGCAGGATTAATAGATAAGAAGGTGATTTACCAGTGTGCGCCTTCAGTGGAGTGAGACCAGCTAAAAACTGGCAGATATTCAATATCTCACCAATGAGAAAGGTCAGGAAGTCTCCCTCTTTCTCTCTCTCAACAGTTTTAAGTGGGGAGAGGGGTGAAGAGGTCAGGAAATGGCACCTTCCTTCTACCTTAGAAATTGTTTCCAGGTAATGGACAGACAGAAGCCCTGTTCAATGGCCATCCCTGTATTCCCCTTGAAACAAGGCTTTATTATGCGCAGAAAAGTGAGGTGGAATGAGGCAGAAAATATACAGCAGTTGTGACTCTCACACATACCCTATGCTGCTATGCTGAAAGCTGTTTCCTCTTACCCACAGTGACAGTGTGTCATTTAATCAGGATGTCAAGAGATCATTTTCATACAAGGCCAGCAGATGTAATTTTCTTTGATGCATGAATAGTTCATCATTTTGCTACTAGATGACAAGGTGATCACAGGGTGACTTTATAACGCAAGTTCACTGTTTGGTATTTTGAGTTCTCAAAATGAAAAAAAAAGATTTATCAAATATAAATATCTTTAAAAAGTAACAAAAGTGCTACATATGTGATCAAGGAAAAAAATTACATTAGTTACTGCCGCTTAAAGTAGATTAAACTTTACAAATATTACCACATCCGTTATCAATATGGCTTCCAATTATTAAATAAATTGCCTGTAACAATATAGCTTTTCACACCTCTACAAGGACAGAATACAGAGAACACCAAAGCAGTCACATCCTGTTGTATCTCACACACCCACAAGATAAGTGGTAAATGTCCCCTGCTTTTTTCCGCTCCTATTTAGGCAAGTGTTTGCATCGCTGATAGTCGGTCAACATAATCCCACTACAAAGCCCTCTATCGGCCTCTCAGATTGAGGGGGCTTCAGTTAATGGATACAAAGACTGTAATTCTTTCACTCATTTTTGACCTTAGCTCCATCCTTGAAAGACTTTGTTTGGTAGCAGGGAAAGGGAACACGACAGGAGGCAAAGCAGCTTCCTCGATGACCTGCAGAACTTTTGCAGGCAGGCACTGATAACTGCTGCGGAATGTACAGCGGTGCCAAGTGCGGGATTTGGCATCCATCAGACATTCAGCTCATACTGTTTTCCAATGCTCTCAAGCTGGGGTTGTTTCTTATGACTTTTGTTTTTTGTCTTTTTTTTTTTTTTTTAATCATGGTCCCAAAGGCAGTATTTTATCTGCTAAGTCACACAGCTTGTGAGAAGAAAGGATATCTGTGTCAGGCATGTTAACATCAACCAAAATCTGAGATCGAGTTTTTCCATTGACATTCTTAGCACAGCACCCAAAGAAGTATAATCTAGCCACAGTGTGACTGTAACGAGGCACGGCTTATTGCAGCTGGAATCGGTTATTCTCATGCTGAGGTGGGGATTCTAGTGTTCCTTTTATGCTGTGGATACTCCCCAAATGGTGTCTGTCAATCCTGTGCCACTACCTCAGCTTGCTCCTATCAGTCTTGGGGAAGAAAGGGGGTAGACTAGTGTTACATGAATCTAAAGGTACCCGAGATTTTATGTGTAGCCTAAGATTTGAGAACTGAGGGCTATATAGATACCTGGAAGCACTTTCTTGGAATGAAAGACAGAGCAGCAAGATGTCCTAGCCTTGGGGGTGGGGGAGGGAAGTCTGGTTGGCCGCTGGTTACTAGTTACTGGGAATTAATACTGAGAGTATATGCAAAGGCTGAGGCACCATGCCATCTTCACACAACAAGACCCTAACACTACCCGACACACGAGAAATTGTGAGTTAAACTGTAAGAACACATGGTAAGGACCGAGGAAAGTCCGCTAAGGTGCTACATCTAAACTAAGTTAACTAGTCATGGTTAGCCCTCCCTGATCAGTCATCATCCAGGGCCTCTGTCTTGATTTCATTGGCTCCTTGTCGGGCCAATGCCAAGATGGTATGGTTGACTGCTGCCATTTCCACGGCTAATGAGATGGGGTCTTGGTGGTCACTGTGGCTCGTGCTGTCATCCTAGATATGCAGAAATAAGAAACGGATGTTATTAGTGGAGGAGTGTGATTCTGCAGCTCACAGGAAGGCATGCTGGGGTGCGAGGAGGCCAAACTGCCATGGGAGGAAACAGTGGGGGAGGGTCTCATGACAGAGGAGAGGTGGACTATATTTAAGTAGACACTGAATGGAAATAGGTCCAGAGACTCTCAGTTGGCACTTTTACAATCCAACACATAAAAGGCAATAAACATGTTTTTTCTCGTTGAGAATTTTAATCATTCTATCAGAAAGATTGCTGCTGCTGCTGATCACACCTGTAGCGACTGACATAAAACCAATAATTTGGATTTTTGTGTTTGCAACAAATACAGCACTAATCATTGAAGGTCACAGTAGTGAGCTATTAAATTCCAGATTTCTATTCTTACAAACAGATTATGAGAATTCATGGTACTGCTCTACTGAACTGAGAAAACTAGACAAAACTTAACATGACAGACACGAACATCTTCGAGATAAAAATGAATTTTTGTAAAAAAAAGAAAAAAAAAGTTCTCAATTCCAACAGGACAAAACTGTCACCACTGGAAATGGCTATGGGAGGAAGTTGCAGAGCTCTCCGGAGGAGGCAGCTGTGTCGGGGAGTGTGGAGCTCTCATCCTGCACAGCTCAGCATGTTAAACAAAGCTGCGAAGGAGAAGACTGGCATTGCAGGATGTACTTCAGGCAATGAAGACGTTGTTACGAAGAAGGGGCACGTTTCGCACCTAACACATCTTCAGAGGAACGCTGTATCAAAGAGCTTTGGAAAGGGTAAGACGCTTAGGGAAAAAAGCGTCTGGGATTTGCTGCCCTCCGGGCATCTGTAAAAAAAAGATGGAAACAATCCATATACTGGTTGGTTGAAAAATAAGAGGAATGTTCCCAACTAGAAAGACTTACAGAACATCCTCTGAGTAAAAGGTGGGGCTGTGATTTGGAGTCCTAAAGGGAAAAAGGTAACCCTTGGGAAGTGTGGGCATTATTGCTTCATTCTGATTTTCACAGATTGGTTTCGGAATTTGAAAAGAGATCAGCGCAGAATCGCATGCACTCTGGGAGTGTCTGTGTTCAAGCTGCTAAACAGAGGCCAGGGAGGAGGAAGAACATGGAAGACAGTATTTACAAACCGGCCAGTGGGTGAGGAAAAGGTGTAGACCTTGCAGGAAAAAGAAATTTTCTTGCTTTGGTCTAGGGGAAGGAACCATATGTTCTCTGCATATTCCAAATAGAAATGAAAATTAAATCCTATAAAAATTTTAATGATATGTCAACACACACAAGGGGGGAACAACCCCCCACAGTCTTAGTTACTGAATTATTCCATGCAGTGACTACAGTTAAATACATCTTTTTCCAAGCAATGCAAAATAAATGGGGGCGAGGTGAGAGGACATGCAGGTATTGCATTTATGAGAGGATGCATGTGTCAATGTGCCGGAGAGACTCCGGAAGAACCACTCCTTTGGGCACGAGGGTTCCCACTTTGATGGGGCTGGAGTGGATAGGGCCTTCCATTGTGCCCTGCAACGGTATGTGTTAGGCGTGGGTCACGGCTGCCCGCTGCCCCTAGTACTTCTCGAACACTGAGTGTATGTGGTGAATGGTGTAACTTGCTTGTTTGGGTCAGATCCTCCTCTCTTCTTCTACCTTCTCTGCTTCTCTGCCTCCCTCTGAACTTCTTCCCTCCTCCTCCTCCCCATTGCGTACTTGCCAAGTATCCTGTTGTATGACAATAAATCCATGGGGGTGAATAACGATTTCTCACAAATTCAACAGGACAACTGAATCTTACCACATTCCTTTCAAATTACATGAAAATCTAACTAGACACATGAGCAGAGTGGAGGGACATTCACTTTTCCCTCCCCCACCCCGTAGAGCCACACCCACAGAACTGAGCTGTCATACTATCCCGCCACTTGGTCACTAAGCACCTCTGCCTGGTTGCTCACCTGCTCAGAGTAGTCGTTCCCATCGACATCATCGCTGTTGGAATGGCCTCCTGGACTCTGTACATCTATCCCATGACTCTCCAGGATTGCTGCTTCTTCGAAAAAAGCAAATAGATCCCTAAATTACCGGCTACCTTATCATAATGACTGAAACATTGAATTAATTTTTGTATTGAGGAAATTAGAATATAATTAAACAATAACCTATATTCCTCTGTATTTTGTTTCTTTTAAACTGCAGATGGATGAAATTCAAGTACATGTAGATCACGGGAGGTACACATTTGCCTTTCTGGAGTCCCTGCTGCTATGCATATTAAGTTTAAGACATTAACTGTAGGATACTTCATAAATACTTGCTAACTAAATAGCTCTCCTTGGAGTTCTATAAAGCATTTGAGAATTGTAATGATGAAAAGGAAGTATATTTATAAATGAAATGCAATTTCAGAAGCTTAAGACCAATCCCCCACCCCAATCTCATCAATTCAAATTTCTTTTTTTACTATAGTTTTGAATGGGGGAAAAAAACCTTTATTTCTTCCTTGTTTAGTTGTATTCGTAGTTCCCCCTGGGGCAGTTTTAACATTTCCTTTTTTCCCCCTAACTTTATCAAGGTATAAATGACAAATAAAAATCGTACATATTTATGGTACAATGTGATGTTTTGATATGTGCATACATTGTGAAATGATTAAATCAAGAGTTCAAATTTCTTAAATGCTCTTTATCTGTTTTTTGCTGTATTCCTTTTCTGTTAAGTCTCTTTCATTCTGATTTTGTTAATCAGGTGTTTCCTACTAAGTCATAGCCTGGTAATAATAAAGGAGCACAGGTTATCACATTTCCTCTCTCAAGACCCTACCAATATCTTTAATGTGTACCACAGGAGTAATCAATTGCTTAGGTGTCATGTCTAATTCTGTATTCTAAAACATTAAGAACAATGGGTTTTATAAGAAAACAATGTCAGGGCCGGCCCGGTGGCGCACTGCTATAGTGGTGCGGCTTGGGAAGCGCGGTGGCGCCCCCGCCGAGGGTTCGGATCCCACATACAGACCGGCCGCTCACTGGCTGAGTGAGGTGTGGGGG